AAAAGAAACATCGTCAATTCTTAACGGTAGTTTTCTACTGCCGCTCTTTTTTCGCAAGTGAACGTGCTAGGAAAAGAAAATAATAAGTTAATTTTAGGAACGATAATTATAACGTTTTAGAAAAGATAATTATTAAGTTATAGGAACGATAATTAATAAGTTTTAGGAAAGATAACCATTAAGTTTTAGGAACGCTAATTATGTTCAAGTACATTGTTACATATATTTAAATGAATATATACATTGCCCCGCAGTGAACTGATCGTAATCACATGGTTCCCGGTAGATCACTGGCTGTAGTAAGTGAGCAGGTGGGTGACCACTTTGATCAGCTTGCGTAGGAACCGAGGCTGCGCGTTATCGGTCCTCACTAAACTATTCTACCGTAAAGTGTTCGTAAGTCGTCGGACTATTAAAACGGGGGGGGGATATTTTAGCACCTTACGTAAGCATTGCTCGAACCCCACTAGTCAACAAAAATAAGTAAATCACATCATACTTCTTTCTCCTTCAGTTGCTCACGCAATTTTCGGACAACCCTAGACACGTGATCAAAAAATTGAAAATTTTTAATGAATTTTCAGTCATTCATTTTTCTGCTTTAATTAGCACGAAGTGGACAATATACTCGATTTTAAAACAACGTAAATACGAATATCGATGTTGTGATTTGCAAATTGCGTATCAAAAAAAGATTCGTTAAGCCATCTCAGTAAAAATTGCGATCTGAGATTTGTAAATAACATGGCTCACTTCCAAAGAAAATTTTTACCAAATTTGCACTTATTTAGATCTAAGAGAAATAATTATTCATCATTGAAATTTCTTTAATTTACAAAAGCAATTATTTTGAATATGAATGAGGAAAAAAAATTTAAAACTACTTCTTTTGGATTTTATATTTTAGTACAAATAAAATTCCGATAATCTCAACATTTTTTAGTAAGTATTAGACTGTTTTTTATAATTAAAAATTACCAAAATATATTTTTGCTTGTAATTTGAAAGTCAGAAAAGAAAAATACATAAAAGGGCACCGATGTTCCACAAGCTTCAAAAAGTTAACCGGTACCAGCGAAACTCTGGTCACCAGAATTTTATTTTTTTAGGGCCAATGACAAGATTTCCAAGCCTTGAAGCATTTTCACAATAGCATTTTAAAAAAATATATTATCTTTCAGCAAATGGCTATGATTTTTATAATTTTAAGACATCAAACCGTGGTGGCTCACCGTGGTAGCTCCCCTCCCAATGAGATGACCCAGGTTCGAATCCCAGCGATGGCTGCTTGTTACGAATTCCGCACCCAACTGGCACCGACCAAAGTGTTGACGTAAAATATCCTCAGTGGTAGACGAATCATAGGTTAGTGTCCCCTTGCCGTCAGGCTAACCGTGGGAGGTTATCGTGGTTTTCCTCTCCATGCAACGCAAATTCGTGTTTCCATCAAAAAGTCCAACTTTCAACTAATACTTGATCCTTGTCTTCTGGATTGGGTTCAAAATTACAAGGCTACGGATTTAAACAGTGGCAGTCGTAAACTCAAAACTGAATCGGCTGTTCAACAACGGTTATAAAATAAAATTATAAGACAATTTGAAGCTACAAAGGTAGATAAAACAACATACAAGATTAATAAATAAAAAATATTCCTCTAGTTTCTGCTTGACTTTTTTTTTTAAATGTTTTTAGCATCAATCATATGTTTTTATTCTCTTAAACCCGTTCAATTGTTAGGACCGCCAATGATGCAAAATTACCAGTGATGAAATTTTAAAAAATTAACATTTAACATGGCAGAAAATCTATCTTATTTATGTGTAGTGAGGTACAAAGTGTTAAAGTAAAATTCTATTCCACAACTGGTTCAAAAACGGACTCAAGGAAGACCTTGAATGATACTGACAGAAGGCAGCAAGGCTTATCAATAAACAAATCAAGTCTGTCTAGTTTTCATTTTTATTTTATTTCTTTCCCATCACAAACTGTTAAGTGATTTATTAACGCTTCAGATCAATATGTAAATTAATTGTCACTTTTCCCCCTTTTTATTTCAAGTTGTAAACATTTGTATCGTTTTAAGGAAACGATTCAAACATTACTATAACTCAATGGCTTAATGTGTAGAAATAGTTATTTTAGTAGAAGCAACATTTTTGAAAGAAAAAAAAAATTCAGATTTCAAGTAAAAAGATCTTATTTTAGTGTTATTTAAGTAGGCAATATTTTATTTTACGCAATCTTAAAATTTTTGAGATTCTAGCGGATAGAGGTACTAATTTGCAATAACAACCTATCCGAGGGGGCCGGGGTTCGATCTTGGACGCCACTGAATACATCTCTCGTAAAATCTCGTGAAGTGGTCGGGCGCTGAGAGAAGCAGTGGTACAGGTATCTTTAGAAAATTTTCTTCCCCTTCGGATCTATGTCTCAATTGAGAAAAATCCTCACTAATGAGTGATGCTGCCATCTATCAATCGAGTTCTGAACCAAGACGTATTTTAACCCTTGTGGAGCTCTCCTGTCAAACGAAAAGCGCGCCTTCCTAACTTAATCCACAGATTAATGGCGGGCACGCTTGGTTTGTGAATCCACAGATTAATGGCGGGCACGCTTGGTTTGTGCAAGTGTCATTAGAAACAACAACATAATACTAAGAACGGATGATAAATAATAAATATAGTAACATAAGGGGTAAAAAAATATTTTACAGGTAAAAAAAAAACAATAAATTATTAACATTAATTAGATACTAATGACAACCAAAGAAATCTAGAACTTCTTGTTAATTAACGATTCATAACATGTGATTTTTCAGGCCAATAAGAATGCGCCAGCGACAATGAGAAACGATTTTATATCAGTATATTACACAGAAAAGAATTTTATCGATATAAAAGACAAATCAACGTAGAATATAATCCTACCTCTAAAACCATAATCACTTTCTAAAGAGCTTATTTATTTATTCATAAAAAAGTGAGACTATCTCACCTCGATTTGGGTTAATCAAGGCGTGAACCGTATTAACAACTCGTTAAAGAAAGTAGAGGGTTGATGATCAATTAGAATGATCATTACAAAACACCTTGGAGATAATGTGTAATTCGTAATTTAATGAGCTTTAGACAACTTCAAAGCTAATAATTAATGTACATAAATAACGCAATTAATGTACATAAATTTAGTGTAAATAATATACAATTATTTTCATTCAAAACGTTCTTTAAGTTGCGAAATTTCTCTCTTCACACATTTATAGAACAAAAATCATTGAACATAAGAAAACATGTAAATAGAGCTACATATTCATACAAGCAAAATAATCCACTATTTTAGTTTTTCTAAAAATTGTATGAGATTGAAAGGTAAATCTTAATTATCTTAATTAGTGGCAGTTAAAATCTTAACTGGCACGAATTATCTTATTCAAGAACGCATAACTCTCGATCTAAAAAAACTAAAGAGAATAAAAAATACATATATTTCTTCAATTTTCTTAATTTGTTTTGGAGATAAATTTTCATCACATATTTGTATAGACATTTTATTACTCATCATCACTCAACCATGGGCAAGCACCCAGCCCTATTATTAGGGCTCTATTTTTTAACTGCCATGGTAGTAATGCCACATAATTTTGACCTTGGTCAGACGACGTGAACAACGCCTGAGCTGGTACCCTTCTCTCCAAACTTCCACACCACAAACTAAGAGAGGACTTTCAGGTACGACAAATTTTAATGGAAACTTGCTGCGTAAGTCGACCACCAGGATCGAACTCACTACCCCCAGCTATCAAACTGCACACATTTTATTGTTACAAAAACTAGAAATGCCTTTTAAAAATTATAATAATGATAATAAATAATTAAAAATAAGACTAACTAAAATCAGCAGCCAAGAAATAAGACCTGCAAAATCCGCAAAGAAACTAGACTAACAAAGCCCTTAATCTTTGAGTAAGCAAATATTTTTAAAAGCAATTATGTTGTCAACCATAATAGTATTGAACCTTTACAGTTTCCGTAACTTTAATAAATATGAAAGTTTCTTTTCCTTAAACTAGAGCTTTTTATAGGCAGTGCGTAATTTTTTGATTGATGCGTTCGGGTGTACCATATTAATTCGAACACCATAAATATATAATTTATTTTTTAAGCAAATTTCATATTTACCAACTGTTCTCGCTCGCAAAATTTTAATTAAGCAAATAATATAGAGGAAAAAAATATTAAGTTAATAAAAATTATCGAAGCTTACCGTAGTATCAGAAATGGTGACCAAAAGATAATAAAAATTAGTAAAGAAATTTGAGAATAAATTTTAAAAAAACAATATAATTTCCGTTGCATCTAAATTAGGTTAAAAATTAACGATTTGCAAAACTTCCACCAGGGTTAAAATAAAACAATCGTGACTGCCGATAATGTAGTATTACACTGACATAGAGATCTATCATAATTATGAAGAAGAAAAAAAGAATATAAGCGGGAAAACAAACAAACGATATGAATATTTTTATGTAAAAAAATTTAAACACAGTGAAAAATTACGGGTAAAAAGAGGAAACAACCCTACAACGAAAATAGGCGAAAACGAAATAACGAAACGGTAGAATAACGAAACGAAATACAGTGAACAATAACGAAAAGGTACAAAATAGAAATACACTTTTAAATTTAAAATAAGTTATCAGTTACCAAATTTAAGTTAACCACAATGAGTCTTAAAGTGAAAAATATTTTTATAACTGATATAAATTTTAAAAAATAAACAAATATACTTAAAAATGATTTAGAATGCATCCAAATTTTAAAAAATAATTTGTAAACCTTCCATCAGGAAATAAAATAATCATGACTACCGATAATATTACAGTGCCATAAAAATCCATCAGGTTCATATTTATAAGATATAAATGGGGGGAAAACAAACAATATAATGATGACTTTTTTTAAAAAAATAAAAAAAAAGAATGAAACACAGTAGAAACTTACATGTAAAAAAGAATATCAGAGTTCAGTAAGAAGGGTACAGATTAAAAACGTCCTGCCTCTGTCAAAACAAATAAATATTGAGCATTAGCAAAATGAGAGTCTTAAATTGAGAAAAAAAGTAACTTCAGAGCTGATTAAAATTTAAAATTAAAAAAGAAAAACCATATATCATTTCCGTTTCATACAGATTAAACTTTAAAAACAATGATTTGAAAAACTTCCGCAAGGGAAAAAAAATAATCAAAACTCATAATCATGGAAATAAATAAATAAAAAAAATTTATTATCATTTCCGTTGCATCCAAATTAGACAAAAATTAATGGTTTGTAAAACTTCCATCAGGGAAAAACAACCATGACTTCAGATTATGTTGTATTACATTAATGTATATAGATCTATCCCATTTATAAAACTAGAATATAAATGGGACACGGGAAATAATATAAATGGGAATATATAATATAGAATATAAATGGGAATATAAAACAATGAAATAATATGAATATTTTTACAAAAAAATTTAAACACAATGGAAAATTACGAGACAATAACAAAATAGTACAAAATAAAAAAGCACTATCTACTGTAAAATAAGTAAATATTGCATTTTACTAAATTTAAATGAACCAAAATGGGGGTCTTAAAGTAAAAAATGATTTTAGAGCCGATTAAAATTTAAAAATAAATTTTAAAAAAACTTGAAATCATTCTGAATTGCATTGCAAAATAGTTATTTGCTAAACTTACATCAGGACATAAAATAATCAAGAATGCCGATAGTATTACTCTGCCATAAAGATCCAGTACATTCATAATTATAATATATATATATATATATATATACACGATAAATGATGATTTAAGGAAGAAAAAAACAATTAAATACAGTGAAAAATCGTAAAAAAGTGTATAGCAGTGCAGTAATAAGGGTAAAAATTAAAAACACTTTTTTTTTCAAAACAAGTAAATTCTGAGCATTACCAATTGGCAAAATATAAAACTTAAATTGAAAAAAAAAAAAAAAACTTTAAACCTGATTAAAATTTAAAAGTAAAAGGAAAGAAGAAAAAAAAACTGATATCATTTCCGTTGCATTTCAAATTAAGATTTTAAAAATAATGATTTGTAAAACTTCCACCAAGAAAAAAAAAATAATCATGACTACCGATAATGATATTACACTGACATAGAGATCCATCATTATTATAAGATAAGAATATAAATGGGGGAAAAACAAACGATATGATGATGATTTTTTAAAAAAGAAATGAAACGTAGTGGAAAACTGCGCGTAAAAAAAAGGGGGGAGGGGGAGGGAAGGTGAACAATCCAAGAACGAAAAGGGACAAATAAATAAATAAAAACATTCTATCCTTCTTTACACAAAATATTTACGAAACTCCGATTTTTGAGCAGATATCAGCAGCTTGCGAAAATTGCAACACATGACGCTACACAACGCAGACAAGGAAAAAAGATAAGAGCGCAATGATAAGACTAGTAAACCCTACTGATGGAAATCTCACAGAAATTGCACAGATAATACATTTTGGTTTTTTTTTTTTTTTTTTTTTTTTTTTTTTTTTTTTTTTTTTTTTTTTTTTTTTTT